CTTTTCCGCAATCCCGTTGAGTTTAACATTTGCAACTTGATTTGGGATCATCTACAAAAGGCTATCACCAAAGGGGGGAACATTGTTATAGGGGGTGTTATCATGCATTTGGTTTCCAAGTTTGGCTATGTGGATAATGCCACAATCTCTAAAGATTCATTGATGCATCTTGGATGGTTGTCCAATGCACAATTGATCTCTTTGGGCAACAAAGACCACAACGGAAACCAACGATATAGATGGCACATGAAGTACCCCGAACCGGTCAAATATTTCCCCCTCCCATGCGATGAATTACCTAGACTTAGGTACAAGATGGAACCCGCTCACATTCCACATTACCTCCTCCCCAACAACATTCCACCTCATCTCCAAGCTCAAGCCGACCAAGCCGAACAACCCAATCCCCAACCGGAGCAACCCGAGCACCAAGAGGGATATGAACATGTCCAACATGATATCCCCGACCTCCCCCAAAACCCGCCACCACAAGACTTCTTCCAACAACTCTTGGCGGGTCAACAATCCCTCTTAACCGGTTTCCAAACAATGAGCCTTGATTACACAAAAATGGGAGAGCAATTCACCCAACTTCAAGGGGAGATAGGCCACTACCGGAACGAGCAACAAGAAAGAGACTGACGGTTTGATGCATACCGGGAGGAGCAACGGTTGGCTTTTCAAAGGTTGGAGGAACAACGGGCGGCCGACTTGCAACGATACGAGGAAGACTACCGGAGGATGTATGGGCCGACATATTCTTACATGTCCCAACTTGGCGGGTTTGCATCTATGGCCTCACCACCACCGGCACCTTCTTGGTATAACCCCTCCGATTGGGGTAATTTTGGCGGCTCTAGTTCCGGCATGGGTGGTTATGATGGCGGGGACACTACCATGGGCGAGGGAGGAGGTGATGACATGCATGGGAGCGGCTTTGGCGGAAGCTACTATGGTGGAGAAGGAGGGCACTAAGGATAGTGCCATGATTCAAGTGTGGGGGAGGAAGATCATCTTTTGGTATGTACACTCCTTTGTTTTTACCTTGTACTACGCATTACTTTTCTTGTTTTAGTTGTACACAAAAAAAAAATGTAATAAAAGACATGAAATGCTAGTTAGGTTGAAAACCCAAAAGGGCAATCTAAGCAACAAGGGCTTACAAAAATGATGAGTGAGGGGTAAGGAAAGAAAAAGCAAAGAGATGCTAGGATGAAAACCTGAAAAGGCTCCTAGGCAAAATGAGAGATATGAGAGAAAAATTTGTTTTTGCAGGACACTATCTCTTGGAGAGGCAGAAGAAGAATAAAAGAAGAAGAAGAGAAAAAGAAGTAAGGGGCATAGAAGACCATTAAACCCAAAGAGATGTTATTTTGTAAACTCATTTACAATACTTGGTGGTTTTAGTTCCTTATTTCTTCCAAATTTTGAACTCATGATCTTTTGACAAACATTATGTAAACATTTGGTTTTACTCGAGGTCGAGTAAAGGAACTAAGTGTGGGGGAGTTGACATTCATGTTATTTCCATGTTTATATTTGTGTTTTTGATTAGTTTTGAGTGATTGTTACTCTAGAAATTACACACTTTTGGTGTAATTGTTTAGTTTGTAAAATGTTTGTAAATTATTTAGATTAGGTTGGTTCTGAGCTCAAACAGGTCCAAGACCACTCTAGGGACCATTGGTAAACATCACAAATGGAAGGAAGGTGCAAAGATTTCAAGAAAAGATGAAGATTCTGATTTTCGGTAGTGTACCCGGTCGAGTATGCTCTATACCCGATCGGGTAAGTGGCTGAAAAGTCAAATCGAATCAACCCGGGAACAAGGCAACATGCAGGAAGATTTTTAACTCGATCGCGTATCCATACCCGATCGGGTAGCCGACATACCCGATCGGGTATGACCCCAGATTTTCAGTTTCGAGGAAACTAACCCTTACCCGATCGGTTGAGCTGAAAACCCGATCGGGTACACGACCCTGCAGGCCTAAAAAGCCTATAAATACACCCCATTTCCTCCACAAGAGGGACACCAATTCCTTTATACTTCTAAGCTCAGTTTAGACAAGTTCTTTCTTTATATTTTATCATGTTTAGTCTCCAAATGAGGAGCTAAACTTCCATTTCTTGGTGTTGCTCTTGAAGCTTGTTGATTATTAAAGTTGTGAGTTATTTTCTTAACTTCTTTCCTTGAATATTAATGCTTCTCTTAAATACTATTTCTATATCAATGTTGGGGAGTGTTGCTAAGATGACAATTAGTTAACATCTTGACATTGGTCTTAGTAATAGCTATTCCTTCCTCTATGTTAATATTGGGGAGTGTTACTAAGATGACAATTAGTTAACACCTTGATATTAACTATAGTAGGATTCATTTTCCTTAATATTCTTCCTTGAGTATTAATTAATTCCTATTCATATTTCATATTAATATTTTTGAACATTACTTAAAGGATCAACTAGTTTTGTTTCAAATATTAATTATTACTAGAAACGATCAACGAACCGATGGTTAATCGTTGATGGTTTCACAAGTAAGTAACTTCGGTTTATTAATGCACGGTCGTGGTTAGTAAACTTAAGAGGGATTAATTTTGTTGGTTAAACCAAAACCGTTGTGTTGAGGTTATCAATCTCAATTGATTTCATCAAGGAGTTAAGAGATTAAATGCTACTATCAAGTAGGTATATGGCGTTGTTCTATACTTGACTAATAGTAAGGGTTATTAATGAACGGTCGTTGTTAATAACTTTCCTCGATGAATTGGATATACTCCTCGATTGAGTATTCGAGAGGAGATAAGTTATAGATATAACAATGATCGACTGAAATATATCAACAAGTGGAAAGTAGCAATGCCAAGTCCTTTTTATCTTTGAATTAAATCACATATAACTCGTTCATCTTCGTGTTTAATTTAATTAAATCACTCAACAAACAAAACCCCCCTCTATTTACTCCTTTCGTTAAAAAGATAAATTATTCCTTTCCCTGTGGATACGAACTCTACTACGCTATACTACGTATTAGTGCTAGTATTGAAATTTATTTTGAGTGCACACACGACAAAGTGTACGTCAAATATGCATTAGGTGAAATTGAAATGTGCAGCACAAATGCACAATGGGTACAATACAGTGACATTGTGTGAAGCTGAATTGTGCATCAGGTTAAATTGAAATGTGCACTAGGTGAAACTGAAATATGCAGAATAAGAACATCTCCAATGCTAAGACGTTAACGGTGCAAACGTGGCATGATAGATAGCCAATCAAAAAAACAATAAATAAAATATCTCTCTCTTATTTGAAGGATCTTATATCATTTTGGCAAGTTTTTCTTCACAATGTCAAACACAATGTCTAGATGTAGACATTGTGATTGACATTGCGGAGAAAAACTTACCAAAAACACATAAGACCATGGAAAGACCGAGAGAGAAATGTCATAAAATCAATCTTTTGTGTTCATCTCTCTCATGCCACATGTGCACCGTGCACATTGTAGCATTGGAGATGCTCTAAAAGGTCCGATGTGATGTTATTTTCGTACCTTTTATTCTGCACATTTCAATTTCATGTAATGCACACTTGAATTTAAATTTTTATTCTACACATTTCAAGAACATCCAACTCCACTACTCAAGAACTTTGCTCAATACATACTCAGTTACATATTATATCTTATTGTGCGTCATTATTTAAAAAATTCAAATTTTTTTATTAAATTTTTATGAAATTTTTGGGTGTTCAAGTGCATAACCTTGAACACTACACCATCCGCCCCTGAGCACAATGGGTACAATACAGTGACATTGTGTGAAGCTGAATTGTGCATCAGGTTAAATTGAAATGTGCACTAGGTGAAACTGAAATATGCAGAATAAGAACATCTCCAATGCTAAGACGTTAACGGTGCAAACGTGGCATGATAGATAGCCAATCAAAAAAACAATAAATAAAATATTTCTCTCTTATTTGAAGGATCTTATATCATTTTGGCAAGTTTTTCTTCACAATGTCAAACACAATGTCTAGATGTAGACATTGTGATTGACATTGCGGAGAAAAACTTACCAAAAACACATAAGACCATGGAAAGACCGAGAGAGAAATGTCATAAAATCAATCTTTTGTGTTCATCTCTCTCATGCCACATGTGCACCGTGCACATTGTAGCATTGGAGATGCTCTAAAAGGTCCGATGTGATGTTATTTTCGTACCTTTTATTCTGCACATTTCAATTTCATGTAATGCACACTTGAATTTAAATTTTTATTCTACACATTTCAATATCATCTAATGCACATTTCAGTTTCATCAAATTTACAATTCAGTTCTACATAATACAATCTAACAAGTCCGTTCTTACCGGAACCGCTCTCTATGGTATGATATCACTACTCACAGTACTGGTGTATATCTTATTTAGAGCATCTCCAATGCTAATACGTTAACGGTGCATACGTGGCATGAGAGATAGCCAATCAAAAAACAATAAATAAAATATCTCTCTCCTTATTTGAAGGATCTTATATCATTTTGGTAAGTTTTTCTTCACAATGTCAAGCACAATGTCTAGATGTAGACATTGTAGTTGACATTGCAGAGAAAAACTTACCAAAAACACATAAGACCGTGGAACGACAGAGAGAGAAATGTCATAAAATCAAATTTTTGTGTCTATCTCTCTCATGCCACATGTGCACAGTGCACATTGTAGCATTGAAGATGCTCTTAGAATAATTAAGTAACAATTAAGTGGTATATTTCCTTTTTTTTTAATGCTTTCCATTTACATCTAGTCAATTTACGTCAGTCAAATGCCAAGGGATAAGGTCATTTGCTTCAATCTAATTTAAAAGAGGTTTTTTAAATTTATTTACACATAAAATTAATGCTTGTACTACGTCGCTAAAACAGATCTATGAAACCGAATCATTGAAAAACTATGAGCTGCCATGTTTCTTTTTTTGGAAATATAAATTTTATTAAGCAAATGGTAACAAAAAGTACATCAGGAGAGAAACATAAAACAAAATGAAAAAAAGAGAGTACACAAAAGAAACAAACCAACAAGACCATCACATAGTACAATAACAAATCCCTCCCTATAGTCTTTAACAGCTCAATCAAGTCTTCCAAGATTCATATGTAATTGGGATCTAGGTCCTCATGAGTGATCGTGATGCCTTTTCTTGTACAGTTTCATTTGAGTGTTCAAACTCTGTGTTGGCAAGCAATTTTCTTGCGTGACCATCCGAGTTTTTAACAAATATCTTGATTTGTGTCAGAGTCCCAAAGATCCTCATGTGAAGAAATAAGATCTCTCTTCTCATTCTCTGAAGCATGGCCAAAAAGTGAAACAGGGCATTGATTACCCATAACATCATCTCCCGAAAAATGCACCTTTGGATCTGCATCTTTCATTGTCACAATAAGAGTTTTATCCAAAAAGTCTCGCACATCCAAAAAAGAGATAAAGATTCTTTCAAATTCTTTAATTAAAAAGCGAGAAAGCGAATCCACGTCATTAATCGTAGTAGTTTGAAAATAATCCTTCATGTTGACTAAAACAGACTTGAATTTAAGAGAAGCCTCGGAACTATTAAAGTCCTCTACATAGTTCAACACCCGAGATTTCTCAAAAGAGGTAGAGTGTTTGATGTCAGCTTGAAACAATGTTTCAAAAATGCAAACATTGTGATGGCAGAAGTCCTTAATCAAAACTTTCTCAAGAAATATCCTCCCATGAGTCATGTTTAAATGTTATAGATGCTTCCTTTGTTGTACTAATCCTTATCAAACTGACTGTCCTCGTTAAGCCTGCTAGAAAGCGTTTAATTCCTAATTCATTTTGTCCTGCCGGTATAAATAAAGAGTCACAATCTTTCTTAATGATACGGAAGAAGCTGCCAAACAGGGGCGATCGTAGTAAAGACCCAGGGGCGTGGCCCCAATAAAAATATTTTTTCATTGTGTATATGAGAAAAATATAACTGGCCCCCTCCCGAAAACATCCCCCCCCCCCCAAATATATAAGTAAAAATAATAATTACTTTCCCAAATTTTAATTATATACGAAGTATTTAATATGGTTAAAAAATGAAAGAAATCAAAAAATATAAATTATATGTTAAAATGCGATACATAGTCTATATGAATCTATTTACTATGAATGATTGTGTATTCTTTTAAACAAAAGTAAAAATTTTGAGGGCAATTCCAAATACTAAAAATAGAAATTCAAAGTGACATTTAGTCTAATACTATTTCTCTGTATAAATACAAAATAAGGCAATTCTCATAAACTTTTGACTCAAAAGATGTAATTTAGGAATTTATCTCTTTAAATGAATGTCAGACACAATTTTAAGGTATTAACTTTACTCTTTTATGATAATATATTTGTCTCTTTTTCGAGATTTTTTTGTTTAATGTGTACTATTTCAATGATTCATTTTGTATACTGCCTGGTAGCATATACAAAAATTATAATAATGAATTTCTACAATGATTTTGTTTTAACTACAATGAGGGGCGTATTCATTCTACGTGGAGGCAATGGGGACAGTTGCCCCCTTCAACCCCACCTTTATATATAACCTAAAACTTTATAAGAAGTAACTCAAAATAGGAGTTAAACATATGAAAAAATCTAAAATCTATAAATCCTTCTAAAAGAATAAAAGAATAAAAGGATAAAAAATTCACTGAATTTTGTAATTTAGTTTTAACTTCTATTTAGTTAATTTTATCAAATTATCTACAATTTTACCTTTTTTCATGCACATAATATAAATTGATCTTATTTTTATATATACTTGTACATTTATAACTTACTAAACCTAATCGAATAATATTAATAATGTGAATTACTATTTGTGAAATATGTGAATATGTTCTTGTGTAAATTGGTCACTACTAAAAATCTAAATACACCAATGGTCTATGGCCCCCCAATATATATTTCATGGTCCGCCCCTGCCGCCAAAGTAATTAACATGATGAATAATGAGAAAAGAATTATTCAACTCAAGTCTGGTACAAGACCAATAATAAAGTTGCTATCAAGATCAAACTCAATAGCAAATGTAATTCCACACTTCAGTTCAGATAAACAAATAAAATTACTATCAAGGATAGAGAATTCAAAAGATTTGCTTTACATAAAAGTATCAAAACCGTTTGCGTGAGGGATCATTGCATCTGTATTTCCACCGGAACAAAGTTTCAAGTTCACCCACCATGGCCGAAATGGCTGCCTGCCCACTTGAGCTGCTGGAGTCAACCGCCATTGCCCCCGAGCCCGGTAGCACGCTCCATTGGGCCATCCAGAAGTCCATTTTATGGAAAGAGGCACGTGTGCCGACAAAATCAGAACTGCTATGGTAGTATGAAAAATGCTAGAGGTACACGTTTTTTGTACACGTTTGATGTACACTTGTCTGTCCTTCACAGACAAATTGTCTGTCACAGATAATTTGTCTGTGAAGGACAGACAAGTGTACACCAAACGTGTACAAAAAACGTGTACCTCTAGCATTTCTCATGGTAGTATAGTACTCCGTCCCGCTATGATTGTCATATTTTATCTTTTCGGTCCGTCCCACTAAGATTGTCTCATACCTTATTTGGTAAAGTTTGTGTGGTTCCAAATAATTCTTACTTTATTTTTACTTTATCAATTCAATATCAACTACATAAACTCACTTTTATTAATAATCGTGTCACCTTCTCTTGTCCAAACTTAGGGGGACGGAGGTAGTACTAATTAATTCATACGTAGTATTTTCCCTTCTTACCCTCTTGCTTTTCCTTGATCCTCGATCAATGGTTATAAGATTTTAATCACTACTTGATAATACTTCCAACTACAATTAAAAATGTAGTAAAGTGGTTGAAAGTATGAGTATCGTCTTTACAGGGACGGACAAAAGGGAATTAAAGATTAACTAAATTCATCGATTAAAAAGAAATAAATAAAATAAATGCAATTGTGCGAGATTGATTGGTGAATAAAATTAAACTAATGTGAATAAACGATTAAAATAAAAGATTGATTTCTTCTCAATTAACGAACGAAGGGAACATGCCTAATTACATTAAATTAATGTAATTGAGCCTAGCTAATCATTACTAAGTTATTACCGCTCTCGCGGCGTAGAGTACAATAATTTAGAGGACCAGACTGATCTCTCATGCGATATGATCCTAAATTATTGCCAAGGTGAGCGAGCTTGCGGCCCCTTATTCGCTACTAATCTCTTAGCGCGTGTTCTAGGTTACAAGAGATATTAGTTAAATTATTCAAACACAAATTAAACGGCATTCATGCAATTAATCCATCAAGAATCTAGTCATACATCATGATCAACCCCTTCATCAACCCCAAATCCCTAATTAAACTACTCACAATTCATAATTAAAGAATCAATATAATTGCGAGGAATAGAATTAATTGTCATTAATTAAAAAGATGAATTGACAAAGAATCTCATGTTCTTGGAGTAAAATAACGTAAAACGCAGATAAAAATCGTCCCTAGGCCTCTCCGTAATGTTCGTAACCCTTAAACAGGAGAATAGAAACCTTATGTATAGAAAACAGGTGAGTTTGGGCTGAGTTGGGACAAAAACGGGGTAATCCGAGCGAAAATAGGATTTTCCGGAGTCAGGCACGGCGTGCCTAGGGGCCAGGCACAACCGTGCCTGACCTCCAGAGGCTGGGTACCCATTTCTTCTATAGGCACGACCGTGCCTGGCTCGTTTTTCCCCGGGGCTTTCGTGCATTCTTCGGGCGCTCGTCCCGCGTGCTTCCTTTCCGAATTTGACAAAACTTCCTTCATGAAAGTTGTAGATAATGAATTCCTCTATCAACCACACCTTGCCGAATTGGATTTGAATCATTCAATCAAGAGATATGATAAAAACGGTGGAAGGTCGCATTCTGAAATCGCAACAGGGATCATCTGTTTTCACCTTTTTCCTCTCAGATTTTTGCAAAGGTGTTTTCATATGATTTGTAGCCCTTGAAGTTAGATTTCATATGAAACTTGAATCGTGTACATTGGATATTTCTACAAAGAGATATGCTTGAACGATTGACAGAAAGTCATCCTGATCGTCGTTTTTAAGTTTTATTCATCTTCTTTTGATCCTGTAGGCAATCCTAGAGCTCTTTTTCCTTCAAATCTTTATCGTGAACCTCCCGGTGACCTCCAAAGCTCTCAAATCACTCTCGAATGCTTCTCAACTCATCCCGATTTCTTCTCAAGCGCCGGTGCCGAACTCTAAAATCTTGATTTTGACTCCAAATGACACAAAACTCGAACCAACGTGCGATAAACATAACTTCAGCTAAAATTGAGACTTGTAACACCTTAAAGCTAGGAAAACCATCAAAAGCTGATCTCAACACGCATCAAATGCGTGTCTAAATACGGACTTATCAGATTCCCCCACACTTAAGCCTTTGCTTGTCCTCAAGCAAACTGAACAATGTGACTTACGATAATCACCACACAGAATCAAAACAATTAGCATGCACACGTAGTTAGAGGGATATTCACATAACAGACAAACTAAACCAAAAAAATTCTTCCTTAAACTACATCTTTGTACTCTAGCTAAAATAAATGACAAAATTATTCACAAGATGCTCAAAGTAGTGACATCATACACAAATAAACTAGCTACCGATCAGAAGGATTTGTGAAGGCGGTGGTGAATGGTGAATAGTAATAAACAGTCCCTTTTTTAGAGTTTGGAACATCCTAACAAAGACTTGATGCATTCAGAAATTTCAGGGCTATTCTTAGGATCAAGGAGTAAAGTAGGCCACAAATTAGGAACTATCATATAAACATATGCAAAGAGTAGACATTGTGTTTTGACATATACTTGAAGTACGCGAAGGACTAAAGCTAATTTTTGCAATAGCCTCCAAGGTCATTAATTAAGTTTAGTTTTCCTTGTCATGTTTGCACGAGAACGTCATTTCTTTCAAAAGATACACAAGTCTCATCTTACGCTTTTTGACCGGGGCTCCCATTCTCTTTTTCGCAAGGCAAGAGGTCTATCTATATTAATTTTTCACCTTTCGGATTTTCACTAGACATTATCTCATTCTAATCTCGGCCTCACCAAGGAAAATTAGCAATTAAAGTTCATTAATTTCAAAGTGAATCCATGCCCACAATGCAATCCTCGAAAGTATCAAATTCATAAAAAGTGACTGCTCTTACCCCATTTGGGGAATAGGAATAGTGCCAAAAAAGGCTACTACAAAAATTCCCTAAACTTAGCGAATTAATCCCCTAGTTCCCTAAACACAAAAACTTTGTTAGAAAAATTCACGGGTAAGGAGGCGATAGAGCTCAATTAATTGGGTAAACAATAAACGATCAAGCTCAAAATGGCTTCTCCTAAAGGACTTTTTCAAGTGGGGTGGATGATCAATGGAATAATTTCATGGGTGACTAATGCCTTCATCCTCTCAACAACTAGATTATAGTGCAAGCTAGCAATTTAAGCCTAAACACTTCAAAAATGTTCTAAAAGCATAGTCAAAACGTTAGTCAGCTCACAAAGACGCAGTTTAAATAAAAAATTTCAAAAATTTTGACCTGACTTTTCTACGAATATACAACTAACACCTGCGCATGCTAACTCTAATAATCATATGTAACAACTGCTGCCCGAATGCTCAATTCACTCTCCCACACTTAAACTTTGGCATCGACCTCGATGACAAAAAATGCACTATGCACAAGGGGTAAGAGGAAAGGGTCACGCGTGCTCAAAAGCAACTCAAGTCATTAATACACAAACGAGTAAAAGAGTTAAAGGAACTTCCCTATGGCGCTGGTCGGTGTAGATCAAAATTGGGTAAAATGAACTTGGCATATCCTCCAAAAAGGTTAACTTGTAGGCTGCAAACATCAATCAAACATAATAGAGACAGAGTAAAGAGTTAATCGTGATTGAGTGTGAGAGGGTAAAATAGGGGTACAGTCATCCAATAATAATCAGAAATACACAGGCTAGAGGAGGACATCTAAAATTATCTACCGCTCAGGAGGGGGAGGAGGCGGATATCCCTCATAGAACGAGCGCCAACTATCATCCAACGAAGTGAGGCGCTCATCAATATAGGTGTACTGGGACCGCAGCTCTGCATAGCCTGATCCTCTCTCATCTCTCTGTAAAAATACTGCTGCTCAAACCTCATCTGATCAAACCTCTCATGCTGCTCTGTAGATAGCTGACGGTAAATGGCGTTATGATGCGCATGAATCCCCACCCAAGTATCAGGAAAAGTCTGGCCAAAGGGGGGTGGCACACAGGGCATGTCCTGTGCAGCGCCATCCATCTCCTCATCACTCGCCTCATCATCGTGCTCATCATGGTTTGCCCCGCCACCCTCGATAATCTGAATACCACCCTGGTGCGGTACTCCTTGTGCACCTGCTGCTGCTGCCTCTGCCTGCTCGGTCTCTCTCTATAGTCCAGCCCCAAGTCCCGTGTTCATGGACGGGAGAATGGTCAACAGAAGAAAGCTAGAAGATACCTCCATATTTCTGAACTGATCTCCATATCTCATCCCGTGCAGAATACGTGTAATGTACGGACCGGAGTAAAGGGTCTGAATGTGGTTCGTGGACTGTCGATGGAAAAGGCTAGCAATGATAGAGCCCATGCAGGGCTTCTTGTCGTGAACCATGCAGTAAAGGTACAAAAGGTCAGTCGTAGAAACTTTGGCCCAGACCTCGGCCCTCCCGGTCCGGTAGAAGCAAGGAGTGCGTGAATGACCCGGAACTTCCAAGGGTAAAGAAGGGTGGATGGGGTCTCCCGGGGCTTATAAGTTTTGCGCCCTCTGCTAATTGACTCCCAAAAAGCCTGTCTGTTCACGTGAGGGGGGAGGTCACAAAGGCCAATCTCACCCCGTTTTTCTATCTCAGCATCATCGAAGCCCAAGCAGTGCTCAATCCGACTAAGAGAAGTGTCAAGCTTGTCTTCAAAGGCCTGGAATTTGACTACAGGTTGGTAAAAGTCTTTTTTTGGTATGAGCTTTGGGAGGTCGATTGTTGCTAGCACCTCACATGTTACTTTCTTGTATGTCGGCTCTTGAATGCCGAAAAATAAATGTTGTCACCAACCTCTTCGTATCAAATGCATCACTTCATCCCTCAGTGTGGGCTCAGCTGGAATCAGGGTGGGCTCATCCGGGTGGTACATTATACCCACCTTCTTTGTCTTAAGCTCCAAGTATGTCATCATATGCTCATCTTTATCAAACTGGGGCTGGTAGTGTGCGCCTCGTGAGCGGCTAGAGCTAGCAGCTTCGGTGTGAGTAGAGCGCGTGGAGTTCTTTGTGCGAGCCATCTACAAAAACAGTTGAAACAGAAGAATTCCAACGGCGCTTCAAAGTGTTAGAATTAAGCACAAAAAATACAAAGAGTATAGCCCCGTCAGCAACAATGATCCACCAACATCTAAATATGCCAAAAGTAAACCCAAGTTTAACCAGAATAGTCAAAAACTTGGATTTAATTAAAGAAAAATTCTTTGATTACAATCCAAATTTCCAACGACACACGGTATAAACAAGGTCAAATTCTTAGATTAGACTTATTCCCTGATGAATTCTCAGAGATGTCAAAATTGGAAGAAAAAAAACCCCAAATTCTCAAGTTGGACAAAGTTTAGCTTCAAAATTGGGAGTTCATGCTCAAATATCATCTCAAGCACCAATTCAATCATCAATTTGAGCAAAGAAATCAAAACCCCCAATTTGTATTTCATTCTACAAAGTTCAACCAAGAGCAAGAATCGACCTCCCAGGAAGTAACAATAAAGATACGAAGAGGTTGGTGGTAACATTTATTTTTCAACATCCAAGAGCCGACATACAAGGAAGTAACATGTGAAGTGCTAGCAACAATCGACCTCCCAAAGCTCATAGCGAAAAAGGCCTTTTACCAACCTGTAATCAAATTTCAGGCCTTTGAAGACAAGCTTGACACTTCTCTTAGTCGGATTGAGCACTACTTGGGCTTCGATGATGCTGAGATAGAAAAACGAGATGAGATTGGCCTTTGTGACCTTCCCCCTCACGTGAACAGACAGGCTTTTTGGGAGTCAATTAGCAGAGGGTGCAGAACTTATAAGCCCCGGGAGACCCCGACCACCCTTCTTTACCCTCAGAAGTTCCGGGTCATTCACGCACTCCTTGCTTCTACCATGACCGGGAGGGCCGAGGTCGGGGCCAAAGTTTCTATGACTGACCTTTTGTGCCTCTACTGCATGGTTCACGACAAGAAGCCCTGCATGGGCTCTATCATTGCTAGCCTTTTCCATTGACAGTCCACGAACCACATTCAGGCCCTTTACTCCGGTCCGTACATTACACGTCTTCTGCGCGGGATGGGATATGGGGATCAGTTTAGAAATATGGAGGTATCTTCTATCTTTCTTCCGTTGACCATTCTCCCGTCCATGAACACGGAACTTGGGGCTAGACTATAGAGAGAGACCGAGCAGGCAGAGGCAGCAGCAGCAGGTGCACAAGGAGTACCGCACCACGGTGGTATTCAGATTATTGAGGGTGGCAGGGTAAGCCACGATGAGCACGATGATGAGGCGAGTGATGAGGAGATGGATGGCGCTGCACAGGACATGCCCTGTGTGCCACCCCCCTTTGGCCAGACTTTTCCTGATACTTGGGCGGGGATGCATGCGCACCAGGACGCCATTTACTGTCAGCTATCTACAGAGTAGCATGAGAGGTTTGATCAGATGAGGTTTGAGCAGCAGGATTTTTACAGAGAAATGAGGGAGGATTAGGCTATGCACTATACAGAGCTGCGGTCCCAGTACACCCATATTGATGAGCGCCTCACTTTGTTGGAGGATAGCTGGCGCTCGTTCTTTGAGGGATATCCGATTCCTCCCCCTCCTGAGCAGTAGATAGTTTTAGATGTCCTTCTCTAGCCTGTGTATTTCTGATTATTATTGGATGATTGTACCCCTATTTTGCCCTCTCACACTCACTCACGATTAACTCTTTACTCTGTCTTTATTTTGCTTGGATTTTGTGTTTGATTGATGTTTGCAGCCTACAACTTAACATTTTTGGAGGATACACCAAGTTCATTTGACCCAGTTTTGATCTACACCGACCAGCGCCATAGGGAAGTTCCTTTAACTCTTTTACTCGCTTGTGTATTAATGACTTGAGTTGATTTTGAGCACGCGTGACCCTTTCCTCTTATCCCTTGTGCATAGTGTATTTTTGGTCATCGAGGTCGATGCCAAAGTTTAAGTGTGGGGAGTGAATTGGGCATTCGGGCAGTAGTTGTTACATGTGATTATTAAAGTTAGCATGCGCAGGTGTTAATTGTATATTCATAGGAAAGTCATGTCAAATTTTTCTGAAAATTTTTCTTTAAACTGTGTCTTTGTGAGTTGGCTAGTGTTTTGACTATGCTTTTAGAATGTCTTTGAAGTGTTCAGGCTTAAATTGCTTACACTATAATTTAGTTGTTGAAAGGATGAAGGCATTAGTCACCCATTGAATGAATTAACAAAGTTCCCATTTGACCTGAATAAGTCCTTTAGGAAAAGCCACTTTGAGCCTGACCGTTTATTGTTTACGCAATTAATTTAGCTCCATAGCCACATGGTCAGTGTTTCCTTACCCATGAATATTTTTGACATTCCTTGTTGTCCTTTTAGGGATCATCATTCCGGGTGTTTCAATACTATTTATTTCTTGGTTTTGAGGGTGGGTGGGAATAGGAATTGAAATATGTTATGACTCAGTTCAAAGTTTAAGCCAGTACTAGAAAAATGCCATAGCAAATCCTTTTTTGTCATCAATTGTTCCTTCTCTATCTGCCCAAAAACGATTTCTTCTTTCTTTACAACGACAGCATAATGTGTTGTTACTTCCTGCCTTTTTTCTAACCTATTTTTGACAAGTAATAAAAAATTGTATTGACAGATATGAAAGAATAAAAATGTTTTCATTATATTTGTAATTTACATCAAACACCAAGTGTCAGCACCAGTAAGTCAGCAACACCTCTATGCCAAAGTTAGTCAACATTAACATACTTACTTAAAAAGCGTGAAATAATAAGAATAGTTTTACTTTTAACTAGAACTTTTACTTTTGTTAAGAGAAATAATATCCTTTGATTCAACATACCTTAAAAGGACACATGAATGGTCTTCTTTGAGCCCAAACACCTACGGCGCTATGAGATTAACACACACCACACAAAGGAATACTCTCATTGCGTTTTCCAAAACAATCAGTATTTACGTGAGGAACCCACGGAAGTACATCCTCTAATCCTCACGTATATACTAATTGTTTGGGAAAATGCAATAAGAGCATTCATTTGTGTGATGTAGGTTAATCCCATAGCGCCGTGGTGTTTGAGCTCAAAGAAGACCATTCACGTGCCCTTTTAAGTTATGTTGAATCAAAAGATATTATCCCTTTCAACAAAAGTAAAAGTTCTAATTAAAATAAGACCATTCTTATTATTTCATGCTTACAAGTTGGTATGTTAATGTTGACTAAGTTTGACCATACAGATGTTGCTGACTTGCCGGTGCTGACACTTGGTGTTTGATGCAAATTACAAATATAATGAAAACACTTTTGTTTTTTCAGCTCAAACCATAGATTTAGCAATTTCATCACTTTGATCAGGATCACAGTACCACCTTCCTTTTCATTTTTCCCAAGATCAAGTTGATCCTCAAGAATAATATGTAGATCTCATTCGGCTGCCGATGGCTATCTCGATTGGATCTCTCCCAATCTATGGGATTGGTTGCTTTCCTGCTTAGGCAACCAACACCAACCAAACGACTACCCAGTGCCCAACCCACTACCACCCAACAATTACTAAGGGTATGTGCTTCTAGGTTTTATATTGTTTAGAATTTTGAGAATATGATTTGGAGTTTTATGTATGTTAATCTTTTTTGTTTTACTAGTTAGTGAGTGCAGCACCTCAGTTTTATTCTAGGTTTGTTTTTAAGCTTTATATTCACTTTTTTTTTGCAAGACGTAAACTTGTTTTGAATATTGGTAGTCAAGTCAAACTTTTATATTATCTCTAGGTCATATAAATGATACTTAGTTTTAGTGTAACATGATGATGCCATAAAAAACAAAAAAACATGATGTTAATTGTTTTACATCGGAGTCGTCGCGACATGGGTAATCCACCTCTGCGATTATCCCGATTGTTTCTATTTCTTGCAACATTGAAATCAATCTACCATTTAGAGGTTTGAAATGGAACATTTCTTCCAATTGCTCCAACGAGAGAGAAGGAATTAGTTCTATGCCTTCGTATATGGCCATGATCACTGCTTGAGCCGTCATGGTCACGTGGATAGAAAATGCGGAGCATGTTTTTGCATTAAAAATAATGACAAACTGTCATTATAAAGTGCATATTTCAATTTTACACAAATAATTGGGGATATAACAACACTATTGATCATGCTTGTGTGCAGGTGCTTGTAATGGTACCATCTCTTAAAAGTTAAAACTAACCAATACTTTCACATGATTGATCGATCACATTTGAGAGATGAGATGCATGGTCCTCTCATCCTCTTTTACAAATTTATGTGAATAAATCCAAGGTTGTCGTCCTCAAAAAACTGTAGAAATGAAGATACACATATCAAGAAATGAAGTTGAAAATGATGCAATTATACACACATCAAGAGGCCCTAATATTTGTGAGATTGTAAGATTTTCCCTACCCTTCCCGTCAATGTACTTCTCATTTCAACACCCTATCGATATTAGGGCCTCTTGATATGCTTGTAACTGCATTATTCTAAATTTCACTTCTTAATGACATGTATGTGTCATTCATTTCTACAATTTTTCCATGGCGACAACCTTGGATTTACTCACATAAATTGGTAAGAGAATGAGAGGTCCATGTATCTCCTCTCCCAAATGTGATGGATCAATTATCTGAAAGTATTGATAAATTTTAACTTTTAAAAGATAGTACCACTACAAGCACCAACACACATGCATGACCAATTGTGTTGTTATATCTCAATTTTTGTGTAAAATTGAAATTTGCACTTTATAAAAGCAGTTTGTCATTATTTTTAATACAAAAACATGCTTCGCATGTGCTATCCACGCAGCCATGACAGCTCAAACAGCGATCGTGGGTAAATACAAAGGCATAGAACCAATTACTACTCTCGTTATAGCAATTGGAAAAAATGTGTCATTTCAAACCTTTAAATGGTAGAATGACCTTTATGGTGCAAAAAATGGAGACAATCGGGATAGTTGCAGAGGTGGATTACCCACATCGCAATGACCC